ACTGTGCTTTGAGTAAAATTTATTTTCTGCCAAAATTGGACTATTGCTAAAATTTTTTGAAGTTCACATTTAATAGAACTATTTCCTAAAGATCAGATTTGTGTCATATTTATTAATGCAGAAACTCATAAAGACCATTAAAATAGTACAGCCGTATTTTTTACTTTCCTACCTATACTAGGTAAGGGAAGTATTGCAATCGGGTCAAATTCCCGATATGAGGTTTTCGACGGATCTATACGTTTCCATGAGTCGGAAAAACACATTTTTAGTCATTGGTCTGTCTGTGCCAAGATTTTCTCGGGAACTACTTACTACCGATTTTGTTACTTCTATTTTTATTTTATAGGGTTTTGACTGCTGATGCCTATGACAGAAATTCGGTCCTGCATGCGCAATAGCTTGCGCGTAATAAAACATGTTTTTCTATAGACTGTATCGCGAAAACGGCTATAATGATTTTGATGAAACTTTCCTATAATGTTCTAATAATTGCACATTCAATTTTCGTATATAGACTAAATTCCGAAAAAAAATCAGGAAAAAGAGTTTTAAAGAAAAGAAAAATGTTATGGAGCCTAACTCCCTAAGTATATATTATACGGTAAAATTTATAAAAAAAACCTTTCGAAAGGTAATTAAATTACCAACAAAACAAAAAAAATCATCGGAATCGAACTAGTAATAGCGTTGTTCATTTTGGACAACTATTAACGAAGTTATAGCTATTCAATTTCCAATATAAGATTACGAATTCATATCCTGGTGTCAGAAAGGGGTGAATGAGAGAAAAATGATGACTAAGTGAAAGTAAGAAAATCTATTGCCCGCATCACACAAGCTTCACTATTTCCTCTGCTTTTAACAGAACTTATTGTTTGACAATACTAAGCTGTGGCAAAAAGTTTTTGATCAGCAATATTAGTGAGTATTGAAATTTTTACAATTCTACCTTAAGCCGGTTTACATTGCTGTAGTTTATCAAATAAATCGTACTCAAATATTTCTTTGATCAATTTTCAGGAAAATAAATCTAGTTCAATTCTTTTTTTGTTTCTTCATGAACATATGTAAAGATATAAAAACTTTTCTGAAATAGTTGGGAAAGTCGTGCGAGTGGACACTCCAGATATTTGTATATATGGATGGTAGGCAATATCAGTCCATCCCTAACCATTTAACTCTGAACTAGGAGCTCAATATGCAAAAGAGAGATTTGAAAGTACAAAGATATCTCCATTCTATAAATGAATATCAGGATTTCACTGTGTGGTCGAACCTCTAACATTTCATAATTTTGTCAAATACTAATTTTTTTCATTAATAAAATTTAATTTATGGAGTTACTAGATTTTCATTACCTACCGCCAATGTTTTATATTTCTTCTAACCTGAAATATTCTTACTGTATCATTATTATTTTTTATTGTGTAATATAAAATTCCGTCACATAGACAATGGTTATAATGAGCTAAAATTACATATATACAGAAAATATACAACATGCAGAAGCAAAATAACAACTAGATAATAATCAAAAATTATATACAATAAATAAAAATAAATTAACTTAATGATAAGCAAAATATTTGTTTCGTCTCAACTGCGTCAATGGTTGAAAAAAAACAAATTATTATAATATAATTTAATTATGATAACTTGATTTCAATGGCCATCTCCAGATAAAGAGAAATAAACAAAAAAGTGTTAACGATGCCAAAAATAATTATGCAGTATTTAGAAAAAAAATTAGAACAACCCTGTTCAATTTACCGCCCTGATAATAAAAATAATTTCTAGGAAATTCAAAATAAAATAAAACAGTTTTAAATGAGTTTCATGATTCACATATCAAGTGAATTCCAGGTATGCCAAGTTGCAGTGAGCCCCATGCAAATAAATCTAACAGTCAGTGCGGAACCTTATTGCCAGAGACCCGGAGGGCCGACTCAAAGCTTGCCGAAGAGGTGGATATGCAGAAGAAGAACTGGCTTAGGAGCACAAGAGATGCCGCGGTAGCCCAAGTCCCCTATCGAAGATCCGATCCTTAGATAGCACCGGGCTTCTGTGGCATTTCCTTTTCCCTAAGTCTTATATTGTTTGTTTTTGAACTGGGATAAAATATCCATGTATATTGTTCTTTTATTAAGCGAATTTTTCAATAGTAACATACCTAATATGATCATGCTTGAAAGTGCGATTCTTATTTTAAAAGCAACTGGATTTAATTTAAAACGACCATTTCCTGGTAAATAACAGTAAATAACATATTAGATATCGAATGTGTTATCAAAGAAAGCTGAATTCGAATTGTAAAATATGCCATGTATGTAATATTAAAAATTGCTTATCGTAAATAAATTAAAAGAAGTAAACACTGTACACATTTTTAGCCGACTGCTCAATTTTAGATGAGTACAGAAAACTAATACTTAATAGAGATAAATTGCCTATAGTAGAATTAATATCTAAGTGGAAAAAATAGATGTAAAGTGGCTTAAAATAAATAAATTGGAAACTAAATATTTTGCACCGAAGTAGAAGAGAGAAATATTGAGAACATAAATACAAATTTCTAGATTCATTTTACCAAAAACATAATATGTATATATTAGTATTGATGTCGCTTATCAGGGCTTAAAGACCCTATGTAAGACATACTTTCAAATCCCTCGAGGCATATATAGCTCAGAGACTGGTGTGATGTAATTTACAAAAACAAATTTAGTTTTTAATATACGGAAGTCTTTCTCGACGTTGAACAGGCGTTTGATAGAGTTTGGCACCCGGGAGTGCTGTACAAACTCCGAAAATTCCTACCACCTACATACTTCCTCATTATCCGTTCCTACCTTACTGATAGATACTTTAAAGTAAATCACAATAACGCCTATTCATCCCTTTTTTCCCAGTCCGTTGGTGTTCCTCAAGGTAGTATCCTAGGTCCTATCCTCTATACAGTTACCACATATGCCGATGACACATGTATCCTATCAATAAAAAATTACCCAGCAATTGCATCCCAAATGCTTCAATCATACATCATAAATCTAGAAGAATGGTGTCAAAACTGGTCAAATTAAAATAAACTCCAATAAATCCCACCAAATTACCTTTACCCTTCGTCGTAACCCAACGGCTTCCTGTCCTACAGTTTCCTTTAACAATACTCCACTTTTCCCCGTTGAGCAAATCCGATACTTAGAACTCCACCTGGACAAACGACTAACTTGGAATCCTCATACTAGACTGAAACGTTAAAAACCGCTCGACGTTTCCGATTACTTCAGCACTTACTAGACAAACGCTCTAAACTTCCCATTAATTACAAAAGACTCATATACTTGACTATAATAAGACCTATTTGGACTTACAGAGTTGAGCTATGGGGCTCCACTAAACCATCGAATTCCTCTCGCATCCAATCCTTACAATCCAAAATCCTTCGTAAAATCCTCATTGCTCCTTACTTTGTCACTAATAAAATTATCCATAAAGATCTTAATGTTCCTTATATTTCAGATCTGGCCCAATCCAGATACCTTTCCTTCCATAATAAACTGCAGAATCATCCCAACCCTCTCGTTTCGAACCTTGCTTCCTCTTCAATTCCTGATAACCCTTCAAGGCGTCTGAAAAGAAGATGGCCCCGTGATCTCCTAATGTAGTCACATCATTAGAGTGCTACCATTGGGTAGTTACTCAGCAAGTGTATTCATGCCATTATATCTGTTATGTCCAAATTTACTTGATGTATTTATGTAATACAATTGTAAATGTCATTAAGAAATAAAAAAAAAAATGTTTTAATCCTTTCGTCAATATAATAAATAGGGAGTAAATATTTGTATTATTTTAAGAGTTCTTAATGTTCAGCTGTAAGATTTAAGCGTTAGCTCCGTTAAACATGAACTTCAAAAATTTTGTACTTGCCCAATATTGCCAGAAAATAAATATAAATTATATATATATATATATATATATATATATATATAAGCCAAAAAGCGCACCTTACACGATCATTCGTGAATGAATGACACAAGAATGACATTGATTGCTCGGGGTCGCTTTGATCATGATGATCGCTATACATTCTATCCACTTACCATTTTAGCTCAGTTGACGTTGAAATAACAGCCCGCATGGATTTTGTGGATCGTTCACTTACAATAATGTGTTTAATTTAAAAAGCTTATTTGGACATTGTCCTTTATAGTATTGGACTTCAAGAAAAAAATGGAGATATAATTATTACTTTCTAGTTCCTGAAAATCGTTTAGACCAAAGTTAGAAAAATATAAGTCAACTACTTCAATCAATAATTAATTTGCTAAGAAAAATGGAAAAATTAATGACAAACAAACACAACTTTTAATGAAAATCTGGAATTTATAATAGTATAATAATAGGTGAGGCCTAGGTAAACTAACCTATTAGTATGGTTAAATTCCCCACTACTTTTATCTCAGTATCCCCTCCTCTTCTTGTGAATGAACCTTTGATTTCCGGATTTCCGGAAATTCGCCAAACACTTCCATCAGTACTAATTCACTTCCTTACACGATCATTCGGAACGTCATTAGTGCCTTGGAATGCAATTCCAAATGACCGTTTAAGGTCCGCTTTAAAACAATGAACAACATATTTTCAGATCACCTAGGAATACCAGACCACCTATAGTATTTTGAATTGACAAAACAGCTCAATAGCATTAGTTCATTTCCGATTGTCTCCTGGTCGTATAGGTATATCTGAGAATGAAATGCATCCTCGTCACAGATGATCACAAACTTACTCATAAAACATAATAAACATAAGAACATGTGAAACCAACAACATGATATCTCACTGAATAATTTGAGTCATCAAATTTAAAAATCTGAAGAGCCGTTGTCATAATGATTCCTTACATTCTTTTCAACGGTCAGACTAAACACATTTCATAAAAAAAAATCTGTCAGTGTTTGGGGCATAAATCGTTTCAAAACGCTCATGGAATCTTCAGGAAAATCAAAAACTACCTCTGGGAAATGGAGTAGCCGGGCAGAGACATCGTCCTCGCATGGGCACCGTCACATTGTGACATATCTGGGAACGAAGCTGCAGACAGAGCTGCAAACCTGGCAAGAAGAAAAAAATAATGGAACCACAATGATCAATTTAACGACCGCTGCTGACTGGAGATTGAAATGCAAAAAAATGTTAAATGAAAAATGGAAATTCAAGTGGAACCAATCTACGAATAAATTGCAAGAAATTAAAAAGATACCAAACCGTGGACGACCTCTTTCAAAAAGAATAGTAAAGAAGAAATAATTTTAACTTGGCTTAGAATTGGACATGCAGCCTTTACCCATGGCTACCTAATGCAACACATCACTTACACTGAAACAGATTGTAACAACTTGCAGACTATACTCTGACACCAGAACAAAACATAATGTATCTTCCAACATATCTGAGGCACTTTCAGATGACGAAGAAAAGATACAAAAAGTATTTGAATTTATAAAAGACATTAAATTTTTACACCTAATTCGATTACATCTAAAGTCGCTAATGACCCGATCGGGTAGATGCGGAATGTAACAATAAATAAATAGATAAAAGAATAATAGTCTGTGTCTTTAAACCAAAGTATTTTATTCCATATGTGGGTCAAAACAGATAATAAACTATTTTTAAAAAGTATGGAGAGACGAATAAGACTTTATCAAGAGTGTTATCACCAATGAGGATCCGCCAGCAGTTTTCTATTACTGAATTGGATTGAATCGTTCACAAAAAATATTTCCCTGTTGAATCCATTTACAGGAGTAGAGCAAGATAAATCTGAGCCGTAACAACCAGTAGCGCCAGTAGATGAGTCGACCGTGAGTAGCTGTTGTGAGAGCAGCAACTGTGCTGTCAGTGTCGGGCAGCAGTCCCTATGAGCTAGTGCTCTGTTTGGTTCCAAGTATTAATTGCCCTTTTAGCCAGCTAATGTTCTCTAATAACCGGGAGCAGGGTCTTCTATCTCCTCTTTTTTCTTCTTTTCCCCCATAACATCTATTCTTTTTTGCCTTTGTCTTTACCTGTTTTTTCATAGTATATTCAGAGCCAAATTTCCTGAAAAAAATAAAAGGATGGAATTATCATAAAAAATGGGAATTAAAACCCTTTTTCGACTCTCAGAAATGATGAACTTTGATAAATGAGGTATCAAACCAAAGATAAATTCATGGAGAAGTAACAATTCCAATTCCGATCGGTGAATTCCTTTAACAAAAGTCATTAAAAAAGTTGGGAGATTTCAAAACTCAGATCATTTCAAAGTCAACGAATCGAAAGAGATAAATTGTGTTTTAAAGATTTTGAGACGGTCATCTAAACTCGGGTTAGCTCCACACTATCGAATCTTGAGTTTAGACCCCAAAAATTCATTTCCGAGATAAATTGTAATTGATGCTGAATGCCTCTTAGGTACCGCGGTTGCCACGGTATAGATAGTTATCACGTGTTTAAGTATTAAAAATTGATATACTGTTTTATATATTAGTCTTCCACGAAATAAAAATCTATCGAAAGATGGAGAAAAACTCTTAGACTCTTTGAATTCTTCAGATAATATTAAAATAAACATTTGACATCTTTATTGATTTAAATATTCTACACCATTTACAACTGTACGATAGCGAATCTAGCAAATTTAATTATAGTCTTGATTATACACTGTGAAATTGCTTGATTTGTATTAATTTTGTTATTATTGAAGGGAAAGGTTTCTTGACAATTTTTCTTTTCTTCTCCGTCAAGCAGGTAACAGGGAGGATGAAATTGAAAGAACTAGTGGGTTAAAGTTATTTTGACTTGAAGATGTAGGATTTAGGATGGATCATGTAGGATCTCATTGTTTGTGCGTTCATAATTTTGAATATATTTTTTTATTGTGTTTTTTGTATTTTGTTTATATGTATTTTTTTTACTGAAACATATTTAATAAATAAATAAAAATATCCAGATAAGGCTTCTATCTCAGTAATTGTTTAGGCAACTTTTCCAATTAAGGCAAATAACTCTCATGAGTTTCAATAACACAACATTCCAACGTTATGCAGTCGACTGTATCTTAATGGATTGGAAGGTTATGCTGATTGTGTAAAAAATAGAACACATCTTTTGGTTACCTGGAGGGCCCTCAGGTTGGTGATGTGTCCAGAGTAGCTGCCAGAAGAGAGTGGGGCTTGGAAACCAGTAGCTCTTGAGGCTTAAGTGTTATCTTTTATCTTTTAAATCTGCCCCCACCACTCGACGAAACGCAGGAAATTCAAACCATTCCTGGCTCAAATAGTAATAGACATCTAAAATCTTTTTATAGAATTACAATGCTTTAATTCTCTAAACTAGTATGTTTTGAGTGAATGCAATAACAAATGAATTAGTATAAGTCCAGGGAGAGTGTCTTATTGCTGAAATATCAATGGAATATTTTTATATAGAACTAGCAATAGGACAAGATTAATCACTTATTGAGTAAGTTTTTACCTTACGTTTTATGTGTTCCCTACCTAACCTAGAAAAAGAATTAAGACTGATCAAAAACATTTCTTAATGTAGCAGATGCCCATCCCCATAAGGTCGATGGCGCATGAACCATCCCCTTCTCTCCATAAATGTTATTACTCTCCTCTTCTTAAAAACAGTGCAAGCGAAAATATAATTAAATATCTCGTAGATGATACACAGTTACACTTGCTATGCCTGTCCCAGGTATTCTCCGTAGTTGACTATTTTGAAACTTTTCACTCCGAAAATCCATAACCCCGTTGAAATTTGTCCCCCTCAAAAGTTCAAAATCCCGTCAAAATGTGCTTCATTGGAAAACTTTGGTGGCGCAACTTGCGCCATAAAAATCCCTTCTGGGCACTCCGTAGGTAATATATATTTAAATATATATTTAAAAACGTAAACATTCCTCATTCAAAAATAATACTGAACTACTTACTTTACTGAGGGTCGCAGTGGTTCGTGCTTAGAATCCTCAGAATCATATCAGAAGAAGAATTTTACTTTGATTGGCAGAACAGTTGACTTTTACAATTTTGCTTACTATTAAAATTCGAATGATATTAAAATTTACTCCTTGCAAAAATATTTAATCTAAAAAATTGGTGCGCGTATCACATATTTTCACTTACAATTCTACTTTAGGTAAAAATTATTTTTGGCAGGATTGGATCTTTAAATAAGTAAGGATTAAATAATTAGAAAAATACTATAGGAAGTAAATCTATAAATCTCTCATTTTTCACTTGTACGATTTACCAAAATAAAGTTATAAAATTATAAACAATACACTCGTATACCAAATTATTGAAATACATTATCGGGTCTAAAGTTATTTAACTACAGTAACTACAGGATAACTTTATAATTTGCACTTTAAATGCTCTTCAATTTTTAGAATATGAAGGTGATGCTCCATGCAGATTGAACTAGATCAGATTGAATGCTCATAAACGATGACAGTAGGGCAGTAATATCTACTAACTGTATTTGGCTGGTCCCTAATTCTCTTCTCAATCTCACGTATAACTGAAGCCTATTACAATATAACTGAGGTCTCACCTAGGAAACTTATATGAAGATTGATAGGAATTTTCTAATGGACTTTTACGATACCATCCAACTAGTAGTATCCTTAAGTAATCGCAATAAATGTTACTGTTATTTTCTTATTTAATAAACTAATACATTCTGCAAAGTTTTGTTCATATTTATAGAGATTTGAGTCACAGTTCTTTATTTCTATTACTATATTAAGTTTAATTAAATTGGTACGTTTATTAAAACGATTTAAATTATAAATGTATGTCATAACTCGGGAACAAACAGAAAACCAAGAGCCTCTTATTTAATGACGGTTAACGGAAACCATTCAGTTACATTCATTGACGCACATCCTTGGAAGCTGATAATTGATATTGGCCCATTAAATGAACAAAGGGCCGGGAACCCCGAAATAATCCTGACTTATGCCGAGGTGAGGGTAAGATATGAGCTGCTATACATCACTCAGTGGGTACCTGAACCATCGGCACCTCCGCTGCTCCTCTATAGTACCCTGCATCTACGGTAACCCCGGGTAGATCTCAATCTCCGCCCGCCAGGTAGACTCTCCTCTTCTCGCCGAAATTTATTGCGACTCTTCTCACCCACAAAAAAACGACAACAAACCTCTCAGCCTTTCTTCTGTTAGCCGTCGTCGACACACCAAATAATATATGTCCGCTTCATTAGTGAGTGATTATCCTTTCCCTCCTCAAGGAATTTCTTTTAACGTTTCCTACTTTTTTAAGTAAAGGTTTCTTTCGGATCCAAAGACGGATGAAACAATGGTATATTCAGGAGGAAGAATCCCAAACCTTTCGACATATAATTAGCAGCGTTTTTGAAATATTTTTTTATTGAAACGCGTAAAAGAAAAAACCAAGACAAAAATACATTAGAGTAACAGTTGTTCATAAATATTAAGATGTTCTAATGTTCAACATTCTTGATGAATTCTGAACTAAATGTTTCATTAGAAATTCAATACCTTACTGGTCTACAAGACCAAATTTTCATTAAATGGAATTCATTTAAAAATATTTAAACATTTTTTTAAGGCTAAGCTATTTTTGTTTATATAAAATCGTGGATCAATCGCCCTTTTTTAAAAAGCCTCTTATTGTGTCACAAATTTCACATTTTTAAAAACAATTTATTGTTCAAGGAGCATTAAATGGTATTAATTTAGTTTAGGTTTGTTAACAAGTTGATTTCAATATTAACAGTTTTGTAAAATAAATTATGTGAAATTTAGTTTCCTCAAAGTTTTTTCTCAAGGAATTTTTAGTAAAAATAATTAAAATAAATTTTTATAATCGAATGGTTTTTTTTTTTACCTTGGATGCATTTCGATAAATTAATTACACCTTCCTATCTCCTATCTCATTCCATAGTCCCTTAAATCTGAGAGATTTTTATCTATCTGCCAAAGCTTAGATCTTTCTTCCATTAGACCAGACTTAGCAGGAGTTCCTCATGGGTCCGCACCCGTTCCACTGTTATTCACACATTCACACACCATATTCCAAACAGTATCGAAACTATTACAGCGATCTACGCAGACAATACAACAATCTTGACAAAACATTTAATCCTACACTCATCTCACAGACATTACATCCATCTAATAAAACCGAATAATTGTCGCAAACTTTGGAATATTCGACTTAAACACGACTAAATCCATCACATTACGTTCCTAAATACAAAGGTGCTGTTGATATAATTTTGTTTATTTTATGTGGTCCTAAATTTCTCAAAATTTCTTGTAGATAACTAAAGTCGTATTTTAGTTATAACATTTTTTGTGATTTTCAAAAAAAAATTATGTGAGGGACCAAAACATTAAGCCTGGAAACATAGCCGAGCTTGTGCAAATGGTTTTGTAAGCTTGTTTGCGAAACGCTTAGGGCCATAGCAATCTCTCACAATGATTTAGTGGGATTTTGATCAAATGACTTCAACGTTGCTCCTTTCAATTCCATGAGGGCGACCAGACCATTGAGCATCATTGATGTCTAAATTTACTTATTGAAATTTGGCAAACCAATTTTTGACAGGTGCGTTCGGTTAAGGCATCAACCCCATAAACACTGCATTTTTTTCCTATAAGCTTCTGCAGCTGTATTATTTTTAAAATAATACAACAAAATATACCGATAATGAATGATATTATCTTCCATATTCACAGTGCAATAGCTAACACAATACTAAGCTAGTTTCAACAAGAGTTAACAGATATAGTTATTGACATACTACAAGCAGTATAAACAATCCACCTTAGGGATTAATTCATCAGATAAGAAGTGTACCATAGAGACATAAAAATAAACAGAAAAACCGAAGGGACTTATTTGCCAACCTAATACACTTTCTCCTCTGGCGTTAGTATCAGTGACGCGGTTGGGAGAATAGCGTAGGGTTCTCCTGGAGTTCCCTCGCCTGATTGTATATAGGTATGCATGTGTTTTTTTTTTCTTAGTTTTAATTTTCTTATTTTTTAGGTTATTTTATTTTATTATCTATTGTATATACTTTTGATTATTATTTAGTTTCTGTTTATTTTTTTTTTTTTTTATACATATAGTGTGAATGACATCCTACCTCACTGTAACCAATGTCCAAGAGACAGGTTGTTGTAATACTCAATAAAGAAATAAAAAAAAAATACATTTAAAGACAAAACTATATTCTACAATTTTTTTTTAGATGATATTTTTTAGAAAGAAGGTCTGTGGTATTAAAAAGACAAGTTTCACAAAAATGTGAGGCGAAATTAATCTTTCGTGTATTTAAATTAGTGAATATCTCAAAAACTATAGCAGATACGAGAGAAATTAATACAAACATTCTTGAAGGAAATTTTATCAGCCAAAAAAAGCTGTACCGCAGACATACAGACTGGCATTTATAGGAGTTTTAAATATTGTGCTGTATGAAAAGAAGCTTGGTATTGTTTTAAATTTATATTATTTTTGTATTCTATGCACTTTGTAAATATCTCTTATACGAATCATCTAAAGAAATCCTGAAGCCTGTTGGCCTTCACAGCCGCGAATAAAGGAGACATTGGAACTACCACCATAACGTTTCTGTTTGACTTCCTCCGGATGTTCCTGGGGACGGCACCTCATGCCAGTACCCACACGCCATTGTTTTTGCCCCCATATCCAATATTTCACCATCCTTACTTTCGACCGAGAGATGTGCCCCCTCCAAAACCAACAGGTGACCTCCTCACCTGTTCCAGCTTACATATTCATAAGAGAGCGTAGGCGTTCTCGACGCCGAACAAAAGGAAATCCGCCCACACAGTTCTGATTTATGGGGTTATGAACTTTGGCGGCTGCAGTCAACACACTATAAAATCGTTTAGTATTTGCTTGTAATTTATTTGCTGTATGACCTCGAAAACAAAGCCTTTTTATTTTAAAGTACTACCTTCTCTATTCCTTTCCTACTTCCTGAATGATATGCTCAAGGGTTTAGTTTCTGGATAAACATGTAAAGACATTTTCAATTATTTTGTGACAACTGAAATTCTGTACAACAAGATGTGTCAAAGTAGTCAAAAAACACAACACCATGCAACAGAGGAGAATAACAGTGCTAACAACAAAATGCAACGTAGGCCTCTAACGACAGACCAAGAAACTGTAAAAATCTCATTTGTTTCAACAATTAAGAATTGGTCGTATTGCGTAGAGGTTTAATTGAGAAATAAAAGACGTTAGAAATATTTTTGATCTATTTAAGCCTAGGTACGACATACGCAAATAAGTAAAACATGGAGTAGGGAAAAAACAAATAAATCCTGTTACCTCAAATAACTACTATCTTCCTAAAAGTAAAACGACATAATTAATAGAAATATTGGATGTAGAATAGTGAATAAATGTTGGTTTAAGATGTAGATGTAGTTTTTAAATAGGCCATTTTAGTTTTTTATTTTAGGGCTAGAATTCACTAGAAAATTATACGTACCTGAAAAAGTTATTATAAGTTATTAAAGAAAATTATACGTAACTGCAACAATAATTAGTTATAGCCAAGATCATGGTTTAATATTTTTGAAAAGTAATGCCATCAATTTTAATTAATTTGGAATTGTTAAATAGAGAAACCATGATGATGTAAGAAAGCTCTCCTTTATTAAAAACAGCGACAGGGAAAGAAGATTTTGAAAAATCATAGAGAATATGCAATTACATTTACTGCGGTCTGTTTCATGTTTCTCCTTATCTTGTGTTTTGAAACTATTCATCCTATGAGCGTGCCCTACTCCAACATTTTGATGATACTACGTACACCTCGAAACCTCTTTATTCGCAACACTGTTGAGGATGATGTTTCGCGGATGGATATACATATTCCGAAAATTCCAACTCCCGATAAAGAATTTTTTGAATGAAAAAATTCTGAGAAGGAATATAAAGGTTTCTGGATTGGGATTTCGTATTTAAAGAACGGAAAGAAGAACAAAGAGTGAACAAATTAAGGATTTAAGGAAGCTTTATGGATATACAGGATCCGTAAAGATATTCGCGTTGAAAACAAGAATAAAGCCACTATAAATCGACATGCCAATCGGAGACGAGGAAGAGCCTGGGGCTCCGAAAATATATCTAATGAAACAATTTACTATTCTCTTCAAGTTTTCCCTCTGTTGAGAAAATGGAATTTTGTAAAGAAAAATTAATTAGTTAATTGATTGGAAGTCAAAAATGAGACACTACTGACTTCTCACCAACTTTTATGTCAAGACCTACACATACCAACCATTGACAAATACATACAGATTCTTAACAACATTATACTTTTTTTCTGCCCACTTCTTTCATGGCTATACGAGGATTTTCCTTGGCCAGGGGATTAATGCCAGAGTTGAAAAGCCCCCTCTCCCTTCCTGTAACTTCGTCTCATCATGTGGTTTGTTGCTGAGCAAAGCGTTAGCCCACTCGGCAATCCCATTCTGCAATAACAATACATAAGATCATATCCATAACCGCGATGGAGAAAATTAATGACAAAGTTCTAAAATATAAGCTGAATGTGAGACCTCCTAAGTTAATCAATAAACTGATGCCGTTGGTTGCTGCTCTCCTTCATGCTTTTCCAGATATTTTGTTTCTTTTCTTTTGTTTGCGTAATGAGGCTTGTTACTCGTTAAGGGGTTGTGAACCTTATAGACAGCACAACGGCCAAGACTAACTTAATCTTCCAGAAAAAAAAAAAAAAGCATACACGAAGACATAAACCCTAACAAATATATAAAGACACATGACGAAGACGACAGCGCTAATTATCCACTCTATTGTCTGAAGAGACCCAGTTATCTTCTCAGACGGGAACTGATAAAGTCTTCGACGCCCACACATGCCTTCTCGATATTTACGATGTATGTCTTGTGTGTTGGTACCCCTGCCTCGACCAATGGGATTAACTGCCGCTCATAAAGTGCGCCAACTCCGAATGGGTCCACCATTACTCAGCGCTCGTTCATATTTCGGCCTCCCACGCGCGCTATAC